CGAATGTAGGCACATTTTTTTCGGTTGTTTTAGCCATAGTCGAAGCCTTTCGAAATTAACTGATGCAACCATTTTAAACCCACGTTTTCATGAATCAATTTTTCATATCCACCCACCGTTGGCGCCTTTTGTGCGCGACACTGTCTCGGTCGAATTACTTTTCGAAAACAGAGTTTCAGATTCAACGCCTTGTATATGCGTTGCCTTAGATATGTCCAGTGAGGAATAGACGTGCCCACATTGATGTGCGTGCAGCAACGAATTTTCGATTGGTCAGCTGCGGAGAAGGAACAATGGAAAAGATATTCTTTCTAGCGAAACTCCTCAGTCTGCTACAAAGATAACGTGGGTCTGAAATCCACAAGTAACACCAGTGAACAGAACATCTACAATTGACTAATCTAGTCCAGAGGAAACTAACTGTATTCCCCCGTTTGTCATACCGAGTTCTTCATTTTACATACACAACGAAAGTCATGCTGACAGATGGCAATTTGCTGTGAACAAAGTGTTAATACCCCGGTAGGGGGTATTCTCGAATTACTCGTTCGTTCCAGCTGAAAGTGGCGAATCTTTTTGCCAGTGCAAATGTATTTAAAGAACGGGTGGAACTGCGTGCTGATTAATGTGAGCCGCATAAAGAATAGAATAGCTGATCGCCATCGAACGATTTGGCTTTCAGTAGTGATCAGGTGGTCACTAGAATGCACCATTGCGCAAATTGTGATATTCGCCCTCCTCTTAGTTACCAGCATGTTTGAAGTAGAGGTGAAGTGCTTCCCGAGTTTTTAGCATCGAGAATGTGCACTCACAAGAAAGGAGCTCGATCGAACTTTCCAAGGTCCCCTTCCAGTGCTGTTTGCATTCTTGCGTTTAAAGACGGCATAGCCCAGTTATACAAATTTGTTGAAATTGACATCGATTTGTTCACCTTTTTCAATTTTAAGCAGCAATCAAAACGAAGTACAGTCAACAAAGAAAACAGAGGACAAATTTTCCTGTTTTTCAATCGGAAGATCCTATCAAACGGGTGGAACAAGGAGAATCTTACAAGTGTTTATTAAGCAGCGAATAATTCCCTTTGATGTGCGAGGCTGCGAGGCACCAAACTGCGAAGCACGCCGGATCTTCCGAGTTTTACTGCGGTGTGTGCAAATGGTCGTTGAAGAGTATGTCATATCTTAAGCAACATAGGAGTAGTTCCGATATTTCCGGATAACACAAGCGAGGCAGAACATCCAGGGAACGAGTGCAGGAATCACATGAAGGAGGGAACCCATGTTCCAAATTCGGAAAGTGCTTTGCAAATTGGAGCAATCTGTGTAAACAGCAGCGGCGCGTTCATCGGAAGAAAAACATCGACAGTGCAAGGAATGTGGGGCGGAATCCTGCCGAAAATGCAATTCGATCGCCATATTAGAACGAAGTAAGAACCGCAAGTCCACTACATTTATGAGCAATGTGGGAAGACGTGCTCTCGACAGGATGGAACACGTGAAAACCATCCACATCATCAAATGATTACAATGGGATTTTCTTACAACATGCAAAACATATCCGCAACAAAGATGCAAACGCCAGGACTCGCTAACGAACACGGAATTAATAAAATGTGACTTACGGAAGAATAAATACACACTGAGCAGTAAACCGTGTAAAATTAGCTTCGTCGTTTCGTTTCAAAGGAAACCCAAACCAAGCCGTGTTTATATTCTCAACTGGAATTTTCCTACAATCCTAGTGGGAAAGATTTTAGATCATACATTTATCTTCCCTGAATCGATACTCGCGTCCACAATCTCGGCAACCGACCAACCGAATTACTGACCGCCGTACGGCCGCGTCTTCATAGTACATATGTTGTCTCAATCACAAATTTTGAAAAAAATTGAGCAATTTTTGTTTCCGGTTTCATAATTCTTCAATCAGTCAACCGAGCGAATGGCGTAATATTGACGAACGTGTTATCAGCCCAGTTTTTCGGACACCGGAGTTTCTGTCATCTTGTTTTTCCGATTCGGCCGCGCACTTTCATTGAAAATTTGTATTGTGAGGCTTTACAGCGTTGCGGTCAGAAACAGCGACGCTTCGTGATCTACTACACACGGACGGTAGTACCTCCTTTTCTCTATTAATCCAAATATGATGTGAGTTCAATTATGTTTCATAGCAATTCGTGTTGATTGGAGACTTTCGATCAAAACAATTTTTCATACCATTTTTGTCCTCCTGGATGTTGTAAGCATCAATTTGGTGTCCTTCATTCCGCACCGGAGCGTTCCAACAAAGCAGATCTAGAAACTACCGCTCGGAAGGAAGCATCCGTCGCTCACAAACGCAGTTTTCCTCAAATCCAGTCATTGGCCTTGTATTCCTAGCCCTTCGCGAGAGAGAAATATTGCCTGCCTACAACTAATAATTATTGACTCAAGATATAAAGAACCGTATGACTGCGACATCGAACAGTGAACAACGGTTTACTGTTACTTTTACGTTGCCGACTACTCCTTCCATGTTTTTATGAGAAATATAACGGAGGTCATACTGATTATACAGACGTACATGTTAATTAGGTTTCTAAAATGTGGTCACTACCTGACACAGAAATATTCGGATTTCAGTAACTCATTAATTAATTGGCAAAACAAAAACGACACGAGGTACTATTCTAACACCACTGTGATAATTAGCGGTTTTGATTTTGTNTCCGCGAACTCCATGTAGTTTGGTGTTAGTGAACCTATTCTCAGGAGATATTAACATTCCTGAGTTATATGGCATCTTATACAGTTAATCGACTATTCTTCTGGACAGGCATTCGATGAATACACGCCTGACTGAACGTGTTCATGCAAAGTTCACCGGCCGCTCACAGCGTGAGGCATCATTCACATGCTTTGCTTTGTTTGGAGATGCGTGGGTGTGTGGACACTGCATCGCCACTTTCTTAACATGTTCATCTCGGTACAAAAATGCTGCATGTTGATTTTGGCAAGCACGTGTAGGCTTGCAGTAAGCAGGTTGATGAGATCACTATAGCCCGGGTTGTCAGCAAGGCCATTAGTTATCCTCTTTTTTCTCCAACTTCGTCATCGGATCGGCGCCATTGTCAGTTTTCCACGATGTTCACCGGTAGCCAGAGCGTGCCAATAGTCTTGAATATAGCCATATGACCACGGAGAAATCGATAAAATACCCCAAAAAATTTTGGTTTTTCATTCCTCAAGAATTCAAAATTATCGTTGCAAATTTTCTAATTCTGTAGCTTTAGAGTGATTTCGCACCTGCGAATCAGCTTTTATTGTTTAGATGATGGATACATAGAAATCGAGTACACAAGGGAAAAGAATACGCGATGCCGTTTGACCTTGCTAAGATGTCTGCTCTAGTTGGCGTCCTGCGGCTACAACCGAGGTAAAACTGAAAAACTGTTTTTGAAATTGAGGCTGACAGAACCCATAGTTGGCGGCCGGCTGGAAGCTACGAATTTCGTAGCCTCTCTAAAGGGTATCTGAAGAAAATACGACACTCTTGTGCGTTGTGCCCTACCAACTAACAACACACAATCAATCCATTGAAATAGCGTTACTTTCGTCATCTCAATCAGCAGAATTACAGAGTGCAAATCCTCAGCTCGAATGGGGAGAGATGGGACAACATTTCGTGACCAACCTCACATTGGGGCAGTTCAGTGAGGCCTCAAGTGAAACGCAAAAGCACCATCTGAGCAGGTCGCTTCCTTGAATGATGGAAATGAATATATGTAAGTTTCATCTACCTTTCTCAGTGTCCGCGAACTCCATGTAGTTTGGTGTTAGTGAACCTATTCTCAGGAGATATTAACATTCCTGAGTTATATGGCATCTTATACAGTTAATTGACTATTCTTCTGGACAGGCATTCGATGAATACACGCCTGACTGAACGTGTTCATCCAAAGTTCACCGGCCGCTCACAGCGTGGGGCATCATTCACATGCTTTGCTTTGTTTGGAGATGCGTGGGTGTGTGGACACTGCATCGCCACTTTCTTAACATGTTCATCTCGGTACAAAAATGCTGCATGTTGATTTTGGCAAGCACGTGTAGGCTTGCAGTAAGCAGGTTGATGAGATCACTATAGCCCGGGTTGTCAGCAAGGCCATTAGTTATCCTCTTTTTTCTCCAACTTCGTCATCGGCGCCATTAGTTTGTCAGTTTTCCACGATGTTCACCGGTAGCCAGAGCGTGCCAATAGTCTTGAATATAGCCATATGACCACGGAGAAATCGATAAAATACCCCAAAAAATTTTGGTTTTTCATTCGTCAAGAATTCAAAATTATCGTTGCAAATTTTCTAATTCTGTAGCTTTAGAGTGATTTCGCACCTGCGATTCAGCTTTTATTGTTTAGATGATGGATACATAGAAATCGAGTACACGAGGGAAAAGAATACGCGATGCCGTTTGACCTTGCTAAGATGTCTGCTCTAGTTGGCGTCCTGCGGCTACAACCGAGGTAAAACTGAAAAACTGTTTTTGAAATTGAGGCTGACAGAACCCATAGTTGGCGGCCGGCTGGAAGCTACGAATTTCGTAGCCTCTCTAAAGGGTATCTGAAGAAAATACGACACTCTTGTGCGTTGTGCCCTACCAACTAACAACACACAATCAATCCATTGAAATAGCGTTACTTTCGTCATCTCAATCAGCAGAATTACAGAGTGCAAATCCTCAGCTCGAATGGGGAGAGATGGGACAACATTTCGTGGCCAACCTCACATTGGGGCAGTTCAGTGAGGCCTCAAGTGAAACGCAAAAGCACCATCTGAGCAGGTCGCTTCCTTGAATGATGATCAGCTGATTTCCTGTGAAAGAAAGAAACTCTGAAGCCGCAAATGTTTCACATTTCTTTCGAGATTATCGGAACACCCGAAAAGTACATTGATATAGCCGAGATCTAAAATGTGACATTCGCATAAAATTCTTCAAGCGTCCAAAAGGACCACATCTGCACTATGCATGAAGGTGCTTTCAGTTTACGCTCCAGAACATCCCATGTACGCGTTCTTGAATCCGGAGAACATGGTAGCCCATTCCTTCGTTCTGACAAACACTCCTGCATGTGAAACGGTTCGCGACTGCGTGGAGGATCTGTACACCAATGGGCTGGACGATATTTGTGCGCAGAACGGTCCAGCAGGATTGAAGATGTCTCCCGGCACAGCCGGAAGGAACACGGAACAGAAGCCAATTTCGGTTGTGACCTGTGTCCTAGAATGTCCAATCGTGCCGATAGCCTTCGGAGGCACAGTGGAGTCGTGCACAACCGCTCCACTCTCGAATTAGTCAGTGCAATTCGAATCGGTGTAGCATTTAGACCAAACTGTTATCACATAGCAAATGATGTTTGAATGATTCTGGGATCTCAAAATCTTCACTGTGAATATTGTATTTTTGTTTCAGTACTATTGTCGGTTGAATGCAATGTCGAATGTAATTCTCTTTAATTGGGCTACTTAACGTGAGACTACTGACGAATCTCACTGACACAGTGCATCCAGGTCTGATGTGTGGCAGCAAATTAATTCAACTGGCGAATGCTTTGAGTTTTTGTACAGAGGTGTTCATTCAAATCGTGAGACGACCCTTTTGCTTCCACGTGAAAACTATAAAAGAGGAAATTTGTTCTCAAGGTGGATTAATACCTTAGATAGTTTTCTGAGAACCTCGCACCAACTGGAACGTCATTCTCCCAACAATTTGAACCAGATCAGGAAAGCATGACACAAAATGGCTCACAGTCTAATCGACACAAACTAAGCGAGACTGACTACGTCGGTCATTGAGGTCTTGTCCGTTTAATTTTCACTCAGACTGCATTCAGCGCCATAGTGCTGATCTAAAGATAGAGAGAGAGGTATTAGGCATTTGGTATATGCTGTTGCCTCGACGCATTAAGGTAGCTATCGTCTATGGGGAACAAATGCTTGCTTCTGCCCCGTTTATCGAAGTGGTCAACTGCGAATCTGATCTATCTCGGTTCGTGTGCTGCGTAAAGTTTGTCGACGCATCTCCGAAGTCTGTTCACATGTCTTCCATCCCTGAAACTGCAAACAAAATTTAGGGAAGTTTGTTTTTCAATATCTGTCAGCGATGACCTGGTAATGTGCTCATCGTCTCCCTTGTTGAATCTGAGCCTCGGCCATCAAAAATTGTCTCGGATTAGAGGATATGGTTGAGTAGACCTTCACGGAATCTTCGGTCCGGAGGACTATGTAGTAAAATTCTACATCTCCTCTCGATAGTGTACTGTGGATAAGATATATTTACAGGTTACCAGGATCTCACCCGCCCGCCGTAATCTGTGGTCTTTCCTAATGCAGTCATCAAAATCCTGGCTAATATATTTATCCCAGATTGGTCAGCGGCACACTCGTCATACCGTACATTAGACTTCGCAAATGTTTCGTGCATTTTCCATTCTCTTCAGAAATCTGACATCTTAAATGAACGATTCTCCACTCGATTCAAAACGTAGCACTGTTCCGTGTGTGACGCACTTTGGCACATTTCGAGGTGCGATGAGTATCGAAGTTGTTCTCACACACACCAGCAGAATCCACATTTATTTCTAAAATGATGACATTGTTGACTATGTGTCTATGTCAAACTTTTGAAAGAGTCCACATGGTAAGGGGAATGCCCAACACACTTGATGGATCCTGGCCCCGGCGCATATAAAATAAGCGAAATATTTGTCTTCCTTTGTTGTCGTTCTTTGATCGAATTCCAAAGGAAAGTGGTAGGTTGCAGAAGGTTCCCTTAACTTTGCAATGAGCTCCGCCGATTGAAGCAGTGAGTCTCTTGTATGCACAGCCCTGCAGAAATCGCTGTATAGTCCGTTGTTTTCCTGAAGAAGTAGGAAATTTCGAAAGCAAATATTACATAAAAGCCTAAATGTTCGTATCGCTCCTGCCCGGTCCATTGTTGGGTACGTTAGCGGTGTGCATTGTGTCGTCGTATCTTCATCCACTTTTGGTCAATTCGCAGCTATCGCTATTCTCAATGGTTCTGATCAGCCAACAACGAGACCATGACATTGTTGGAGAGTATCCGTTGATATTTGCGGGATCCCCATGTCATTCTCGTCGGGAGAATCTATTCTCGTGAGTCAGTGCTAACTGGTGATGCACCAGGATCGAACTTCAGTTTTTATGGGGCTCTTCCTCGGTGGAAATTGCCGGGTTCTAAACTCTGCAGAACGGACATATGCAGCGAGTGCGTTAGCCTCACTCTACCGACGCATGCTCGGCGCTTTTGAATTTCCGTGTCTGAACAGGAGTACATGTTCACGCTGATCGCTGGCGGATCGGGTGTGCACACTAACGCGAAAGAAGAGCGACTGCAGCCAAAAAAGCCATATAAAACTCGCCATATTAGAAAACTGCGCCTTTGAATTTCCGTGTCTGAACATGCTCAATTTTGGGTGATTTCGGTGCCAGACTCGGCGCCACGAACGGTGTCCCATTAAATCTCTTCGCCTTGCTTGTCAGATTTCCAGACTTTAAAGATCTGTGCAGCTCAGGATAGGCTGATGAGCTCTAATAAGAGCGAAACACTCGGTCATTTTGAGAACTTGTTAGAAAAACCATGTCATGTCAGGAGGGTGAGTGATCAACTGGGGACCGTGTGAATGTGAACACCACAAATCCCGCAAGCAGCCGCGTCATTGGATGAACAGCGGAAGGTTTTCGACAAAGACACACATTGCAAATCAATTCTATCTTCACGAGAGACTCAACTGAATCTCTCGCTTAGGATATTCTACAACTGAATGTGCTGCACACAGGCCGCCTCATGATTCAGTTAGCACGATATTCGAGATATCGCAGTATATTTTCATGAAGGAAACTAATCGCAAGTTTGCTGAATACTCTTCGACATTTAAAAGATTTGCAGCCTAGTCGTGTTGCATGGTGTGTGACATGCTCCGTGGGATCATAAGTGCTGGACACCATTTTGAAACCACGCACAATTCCCACCAAAGTGAAGTTACCACGCAGCTTCCAGTGGAAAAATATTCGATTGGATGTTTTTACATCAAATAAATCTATTGCATTCCTACTTCGCTAACAAGGTCTAAACTGACTTCTTTCAAATTCGCAAGTTGGAATCGGAAATGAGTGCCGCGCTATTTGTAACTCGCGTGGCTTTGGACCCCAGATTTCCCGCTACCAGTTTGTGCATTGGTCAGATGCATTTTACTACTCCCGGAACATTCGCACTTGTTTATCCGAACAAATACGACTGGAATATCTACCAACTGGGGAATCCCGCGATGGATACCTGTAGATTGCCCAGGCATACTGTTTCCCCCTCGTTCTTCGATTAGTTCGCTGAGCGCTCACACATTGTCGCCCAACAGGGATGGCAACTTTCGCACCACGACCAGAAAATCCATATTAACTTGGT